GGTCTGGATAATGGACTCAGGTTGTCCATTTCATATGACACCAAGAAATGAACTTTTCATTAATTACAAACCGGTTGATGATAGCAAAGTGCTATTGGCAAACGACAACACATGTGAAGTGATTGGTGTTGGCTCTATCAAGATAAAAATGTGGGATGGATCTTCAAAAGTTCTAGGTAGAGTGAGGCAGGTACTAGGACTAAAACGAAATCTGATCTCATTTGGAGCACTTGACAAATTCGGTTGTATGTACAAAGCTCAAGGTGGAGTGTTAAATGTAATGGAAAAGTCCGTGGTGATCATGAAAAGAGTCCTACAACAAGGCATTTATGTTTTGAAATGAGGTGAAGTTTAGGTTTGAGCTGCAATTTGTCTGTAAATTCTCCTTAAGAATCAATGTGGAGATTGTAAAACTTGATTACTTAAGGTAGAATTCAACAACCTAGATCAATCAGAAATCAGTTGAACTGGAGCCTTTATTCCAACTATTTTTGCAACTGATTTCGATTGAAATCTTCAACTATATGGAGCCTTAGTTAGTCATGGCAACGAGTCGAAACTCGAAACTCAGGCTTCGCTCGAGCCAAAAAGGGTCGAGTTTTTTTTGCCCGAGTCAAGCTGAGCCGAGCAAAAAATGAGGCTCGGCTCGAGCCTTAACGGGCCAAGTTGAGCCCAAACCGAGCCGCTCGATTTTTTTTTTCTAATGTAGGCAGCTTATTTTAAGTGCAGGCAGCTTAAAATAAGCCTGCACTGCACAGTCAGCTAATTTAGGCAGCTTAAAATAAGCCTGCGCAGTGCAGGCAGCTAAAAATAGGTTTTTCTATTTTTTTTAAGAGGGTAGCTTGTCGGGCCGACGCCCCAAAATGGGGCTTGGCCCGAGCCACGGGTCGGTGGAATCGAGCCCTAGCCGTCGAGTTTTTTTACCATCCATAACCTTAGTTAGTTAAGTAGTTAATAATTATTTTTTATACCTCTTTGTGTCTATAAATACCTGCATTAATTAGAAGTGGTGAAAGGGAGCAACTCGAGAATGAGAGAAAGTGAGATGAGATAGAGTAATGAACTCTTGTAAATCTGTAGAAATTCTTTCTGATGATTTCAGATTGTAAATTATGTAAAGTCTTGTGGAAAAATCAAGGCCGAGAAAGACATTATTCATGTTCCAAAATATGTTCTTCGATTCTTCTGCTGGATATAATCTGCTTCTGCTGCATTTCTATTGTTTTTCTGAATCCGTCTTTTTTTCCATATCAATTCTGCTGGTGCATTTTGTGTTCCCTGAAATTCTGTATTAATTTTAGACTTAAAGGAAGTCTTTCAGACCCAACAATATTTTCTTACTTAGCTATTTATAAAGACAAACTTATAAGTTTTTTATTTTTTGACAGAATTTGTTCTATGTTATTGTTAAGGAAAAACATATAGCTCCTGTTTGGTGGAGATTTTAATCACAAAGTTAACAATTAATTTTAACTACACATTTCATGGGATCTACTAATTTTCAACTATACATTTCATCAACTTTTATCAAAATATAATAAAAATCTGATTTCAATCCCTACTCTTTAGGGGCATAATATGTAAAATTTAAAATTTAAAATTATTGCTCGTAAGCTGTAGACACACCCAATATATACTATATAGGGCTTATTTTGCAAGTGTCCCTTATATTATGGTGGGTTTATTTTAACATTTTATCAAGAAATTGAAGCAAATAACCTTTAAAAAACGAAATAATATTTTATTTAAGTAATTATATTTTTATCATCTCTTTAGGATATTTTATTAAATTTTTTTTTTTTTTTTCATAAAGTTTGGCTAGCATTAACATAAAATTGTATATAACCCAACTTTTACCTCAGTAAGAAAAACAAAATTAACTTATCTGGTTATGTTTTTG